GCCTGATGCTCTCAGCCTCACCCCCCTGTCCACTCATGTGTTCATTCATTGTGTGAAGAAAAAAGCAACAAAAGTTATAAGCAAAAGGCAAATCAAAGGATCACAGATTTGTCAGAAGCTCACCACATCAGTGGTTCCAGAAAACGTAGTCATCACAGTTATCTCAGAAGCACTTTAAGAAATAAGTACCTGGCTCTCCCCTCAATGATCTGATTGAGGAGGGCTGGATCGGCCTGAAAATCAGCGTTTTCCCCAAACTTCCCCTCCCCCATCCCCAGGTGACCCTGATGCACACGGCCAGGTTTGGGGATTCACCCAATAAATACCTGCAAACAGTCAAGCTCTGCTCAAGGAGCCCCAATGGGGAGCTTATCACCTCAATGCTAAGCAGCCTGTGGTGTTAGGAAGCCCTCTCCTGTACTCAGATACAACGCACCTCTTTGGAAATTCAATCCTTTGTTTACATGTTGCCCTCTGGGACAACTAAGAAGACATGTACTCCTTTTTTCAAACGATCAGCCTGAAGAGAGTCCATCATATTTTCTAAAAACTTCTCTCTTCTAGACCAAATGCTCATAAGTTCCAACAATCATTTTTTTAAAAAGAATTCTTTATTGTTGAAACTATTACATATGTCCCCTTTTTCTCTCCATTGGCCCTTCTCCAGCCCATCCACGCCCCCCCACCCCAGGCCCTCATGGCGCCACTGTCTGTGTCCATGGACTGTCCATATATGCATACAAGGCCAACAATCATTTAAAAAAAATTAAAAAAAATGCATTCTCTTATTATTCCATTTCAAATGTGAAACTCAGAACTGGGAAGAGTACTCTGAAGGAGCTCTGAGCCTTGACGTTTCAAGGGGAAATTGTCTTCCATACTCTGGTCGCTTCCAAGTGCGGCAGTCTAGGGTAGAGGGTCGTGACTCTCTATATGTGGGAATCACCCAGGAAGCTTTAGTCACTACTGACGCTTAGGTCTCACTTCTCAGGGATTCTCATATAACTGATCTGGGATTCTGCCCAGATAGCACGATTCTTTAAGCTTCCAGGTGAATTTAAAGAGAAGCCAATGTTGACAGCTACAGACACAGACACTGGCTTATCTCCATGTTATTCTATCTGCTCACACTAAACCCATTCAGCCTTTTCCCCTGAATCCCTGTCAAGCCATGTCTTCCTCATCCTGCATTGGAAGAATTGATTAGTTGAACTTAATCACAGACTTTTACATTTATTCCTGAGACATGTCATCAATTTGGTTTGGGTCCACTCTTGCAAGGCTACTGAAGGTCATGTCAACTGAGCTGCACATGGACGATCTGCTCTCCCTCTGACTTTGGGTCTTTTATATGCTTTCTGGTATTTTCATGTAAAACATGAATAAAATTACAGGTCTTTGAAAGAGACTCTACTGAAAGACTCAAATGTCAACAGCTGGCTTTTAAGCAATTGATGTTCTTTCACAGACAAGGTCCAGATGCTAAAGATTTACAGTCACAGATTAATCCAAAAGTGTGGCATTTACTTCCAGAATGAAATACAGCTCTCCAACGTTCTCTCTGGTGGCAAGAGCCAGTGAATGCCACCATGCTGGGCTGCCAGGAAATGCCAACTGATGCCGTGTCTTATGTGTGACCTCCCCAACATTACTTAAGTCAACTGCCTTGTGGATGAAACATGCCATAGGGACATCAGCTCTGAGCCCACAGTGCACACAAGTATCTACCCTAAACTTTTTCTGTCCTTGAACCTGTGATCAGTGACCATGTGTTTCAACCTCTCAGGTCACTCTTACCTGTGTTTCTGTAGCTTATGTGCTGCCTTTTATCCTCAACAATGATGCCAGTCACCTAACATCTGCAGCAATGCGCCATACATTCAGATCACAATGTTGGGATGGTGACAATTTATATTAGGCATGACAACTTATCCTGCTGGGTTGGGAACGTTAAAGATATGCTGGTTCAAGGTCTAAATGAAAGTGGTCATTAGTTCTTGCAACATTAATGAAATATTTTCTTCCACGTGACAAGGGGCTAGCATTGGCTGTGTCTACAAAGCTGCTGATAATGCTGAAGAAGCTGAGCCCTTGGGGTTTGCATGCCAAACTTGGGCTCCCATTGTCTCTCTTTCCCTGCTCTCCTGGGGGTGGTGGGAGGTGGGAGTAGGGGATGGAAACACCGTTACAAGGTGAGGAATCGGCTGTTGGGATCAGGTGGTGCACAGAGCCAGCCCAGATGAGCAGGCTGGGAGTGATCATGGTTTGTGGGTTTCTTGCAGGATGGTCAGTAGTCTCTTGCCCTGCTGCTTTGGTGCTGAGTGTAGCGCCTCCTCTAAGGCTAAGTCGGTTGGGGAGGAGTCCAGCTCCAGGTGGAGTTGGTGAGACATTCGTTGTAATTTGGAGAAGCGGAGGCCCCTGCTGGGCCTTCAGAGCATGAGCAGGAGCCAGCTGTCCCACGCAGGCAGCGGGCTGTGCCGGGAGGCCAGCTGGCTTGGGTCAGCACCAGATGTTCCCGAGCATCCATCATCTAAAGGTCCTCCCAGCATCGTATCTGCTGTGTGGTCTGGTGCTAGCCCCATGCGTTTCTATAGCAACCTTAATGATTTTTTTATTTGCTAATTTTTGTTTTTTAAAACTACAGCCAACATTCAATATTATTTTGCAACCTTAATGAGTATTAAGGAACACGGTCAGTTGCAAGAACATATACTCAAACGAAGACCTGCTTGAGAAGGAAGGGGTGAGCGCAGTATGTGGCAAGGCTGTGGATTAGCAGAGAAATCATTTTTGGATGGAGATCACACATCTGTGAAGCATAATCCCTCAACTTTGTTTCTTTTGGAGCAAAAGAATAGTTTCAAGTTTGTGCTTATTTTTTCACCTATTTACCTAAAAGCAAATATCAAAAGCTGATGACAGCATGTGGGGCAATGGGTCAGGATGATGTTTTTCAATATTTCTTTCTTTTTATCTGCTATTTTGCATTTAAAGTGAAAATTGTAAGTGTTTGAAATAATTTTTTTTAAAACAACAACAACAGCCGAAACCAGTTTGGCTCAGTGGGTAGAATGTCGGCCTGCAGACTGAAGGGTCACGGGTTTGATTCCGATCAAGGGCATGTACCTTGCTTGTGGGCACATCCTCAGTAGGGTGTGTGTAGGAGACAGCTGATGGATGTTTCTAACTCTCTCTCTCTCCCTTCCTCTCTGTAAAGAATTAATAAAATATATTTTAAAAACAAACAAAAACCAACAACGATGCTCTGAACCCTGGGAAGGTGAAGACTATGTTGGCATACGTCTCACTGGCCGGCAAACCAACTGTGGACAGGTTTCTCCCGAGCTGTGAAGTCTTTGCCTCCATTGTGATAGCATCATTCCACTCCGTAGGAATGATGAGGCCACAGGGCAGGTCACAACCAGGAGTTTCCAGGGAGACTAACTTGGGAAGGTAAACTAAAGTTGGATGATGTTGATTTTTTTTTTTTTTTTTTTTTGGTTAATTTTGAAAAGTGGTCTGTCTCTTCTACTCACAGCACCAAGAGTAAGACCCTACAGTGGCACTTCCTGTCTCTCCCCACGCTCAGTGAGGCTGGCTCAGGGAGGCTGGCGCTGTGCTGTTATTTCTCATCCTGGCTGTACCCTCCGCCCTAAGATATCTTAGTGCAACCTCTCACCTTTCCATCAGAGGAAAGAGAAATGGGCAGGAATTATCTCTTGGTACACCTTCACTTCATAGCAGAGGGAGCAGCTCTGTTAACCGGCCAACCTGATGCTTGAACCCATGACCTGAGATCACCTGGGAAAGACAGAATCATCCCGGCTCCTTCAGGTCCTACAGTCTAATGTCCTGGAAACCACTTTCCACCAAATAGTGGGTTCCATTTCTGCCAAAAACTCAGAGGAAGCCTTTTGCTACTTTTCTCCTGGCCTTTTTTAAATGCGTGTTTAGTCAAACCGTCAACCCTCTCTGAATCTACATATAACTGCGTTAACAAACCCCAGAAGAATTATTCTCAAAAAGGTTCTAGTTGAGGTAAGGATGTCTCAGATTTTGCATTCTACAATACATAGTCTTTCCTGCTTTCCCGCTCCACAGATTAATGTTTACTTGGTTCCATAAACAGAGGTAACATTATTTATAGCCAATCTGCTATTCACGGACATTTAGGTCATTTCTAATCTTTTAAAAAAATTGTTTTATTGATTATCAGACAGAGAGGAAGGGCGAGGGAGAGGAACCATCAGTACGAGAAGGACACATCGATTGGCTGACCCCTGCACACCCCCTACGGGGGATCGAGCCCACAACCTGGGCATTGAGCTCGCAATGTGGACTTGTGCCTGACTGGGAATCAAACCTGCAACCCTTTGGTGCATGGGATGATCCCCAACCAATTAAGCACGCTGGCCAGGGCTATTTCTAATCTTTTAATCCTGCCACAAAGATCTTTGTCATGCCATTCCACATATTAAAATCCTTAAGATAAACTCCTAGAAATGGGATTCAAGGTGTGTGTGTGTGTGTGTGTGTGTGTGTGTGTGTGTGTGTGTGTGTGTGTTGCATAGGACTCTATCTTTTAAAGCATTTTTAAACAGTGAAATATAATACTGAAAACTGCATCATGAGATACAGTATATAGACACTTAACTGTAATAAAGCAAGCACCCGTGAAGTATTACCAACACCTCAAAAAGATTCTCCCAGAAGTAACTACTACCTTTACTTCGTAACATTCATTTAATTATCATACAAAAACATGCATTTTGAAGAATTATAAATTAAGGGGAAAAGATTCAGGATGAAATCTAAATACATGCAGAACTTTACTGGACATGGTTTTAAGGTTGGCTTGTCTTAAGCCAGTTTCTTGCTCTTACCTTTTCTCATGATGGCTGCTTAAAAGGAACAACATAGAAGCAACAATGGAAAAAGCAAGAGGAAAGATATATGTGTGGGGTGGGGGGGATATAATTGTTAAACGTAACTGTACTCACCACAGGGCTAGTCGTTGCTCGATTTCCTTGAGAAAATTTGTATGAAATTTGTGCAAAGGTTCAAAGTTTGGGAATATGAGACTTTTTAGTGTTTCGGGCATGGAGTCCTCCTTGCTCACTGCGCTCTGAAACCACTGGAAAGAAAAGGAGGCCACACTTAGAAGTGAAGAGATGAACGAGAGTCTGCAATTCGGAAGTGATGCCACAGCCACCTGTGCCCGGAGCACAGGGGCCTCCCTACTGGGTCTGCAGCCTCTCGGGGGCCCCAGGGACTTCCAGGCCTCACTGCTTGTCCCCCTTCATCCGATGGAATGAGAAGCACTCATCTCTTCAATCCTGCTTCCTGTGACTGGTTACCGGAAAAACTGCCAAGGCCAGGACAGATCTCTGAAACAGGCAGCTCCTCAAATCAAAACTTCCATCTAGCCAGCTCGCTGGGCAATCCTGGTTTACAGCACCGACCCGCCCTGGCTCAGTCCTTCAGGAACTTCCATCTCCTCTCCTTTATAAAAATTCTAAGCGCAGCCAAAGCTGGTTTGGCTCAGTGGTAGAGCGTTGGTCTGCGGACCGAAAGGTCCCGGGTTCGATTCCAGTCAAGGGCATGTACCTTGGTTGCGGGCACATCCCTGGTAGGGTAGGGGGTGTGCAAGAGGCAGCTGGTCGATGTTTCTCTCTCATCGACGTTTCTAGCTATCTCTCTCCCTTTCTCTCTGTTAAAAATCAATAATAAAAAAACATATATTAAAAATTCTAAGCACGAAGGTGGCTGAACCAGGGAGATAAAGCTGCTACCTTCACACAGTGTCAGTCACCCTGCCGGGGTGTGGCCGGGCTGGGTCCCAAGATGTTTCCTGAGCACCTGCCAAGGTGCTCGCCCCGGAGGAGGCACACATGCCCAGTGACCCCGCTGACCTCCAGAAGGCCATCTGCATGGCTTTACGTTTGTTTCCAGGGCTGGCCAGCACCGATTAAAATAATAAAAGACAGACTTCTGGCAGATTTTGCTGACATGGCTCAATTTATTACGGAAGATAAAAACGAGGCTTCTATTCCCTGTGAGGTCTCCTTCAAGCAAAAATAAATAAATATCCACATCTGACAACGGGCAAAATATGCACAATGTTCTGCATCAGTGCACGCAGATAGTAAAATGTTTAGTTTCCATTTTCTCCACTTTAGACACATCCTGCCTCCACACTTGAAAAAAAAAAATCACAACTATAAAACTTTTTGTAGAGTGCATTCCAAATTAATTATATTATTACTATCTAAATTCCTGTCATCTAGGACCAAACTCCTGGTCAGACAATCCAACATTTAATTAGATCCAGCTTCTCTCCTAAAGCCGGGTATTCATGGAGATAAATGATGTAATCTGATGCTTTAGGGGAAATGCTACACATACCGAGGTGATGACTTCAAGGTCCTTCAGATACGTTCGCTCCGTGGTGGACACTTCCTTAGCGATGAAGTATGCTTTGTCAGTTGGGAATCGCTGCCAAGTCCATAAAAAGAAACAAGACATCATCATGTTTTAGTATGAGTGTCTAAGAATATCTTGACTATAAGAAGGTGGAACATGGCTAACTTATAATCTTTTGTTAGCTAGGATCAAGTGTAAATAAACTCATATGCATTCTTTTTTGTGTGAGAGGAACTATGGCTAGTAAGAGAATGGATTTCCATGATGAGAAAACAGTCTAGGAATTTATTCTCCCATGCAAATATTACCCTCAGGGAAAGGCCTCGAATGGGTAGGCTAGCCACCAAGGAGGACTATTTGTTCACAATTGGACATCTGAAAAGCTAATTACTGAGTAAAATGGCCTAGTGATGCAATCTTCAAGGAAATAAATGAAACAGAAACCACAATGGCCTTTGTCCTGGGTCCTGTGGCCGGTGGGGCTGGTGTTCAGAAAATAGTTGTTCGTGGGCCTGCAGAGGGTAGCTGGTACAAAGGGACAAGAGTGCAGGTAGCTGGGGACACCAGTGTGACTCCGTCCTCTGGAATCCGCCGGTTAGGTGGGCAGACGGCACCACTCTCGAGCAGGCCCATCATTGTTTTTACTTTCTCTTAATTTCTTTTTAAAAAATGACTAGAGAGACACTTTGAGAGAAGGATTTGTTGTTGCTTTTACTTATGCATTCATTGGTTGGTTCTTGATGTGCCCTGACCGGGGATCGAACCCACAACCTAGGCGTATTGAGAATGACACTCTAATCCAGTGGTCGGCAAACTTGGCATATTGAGATGACACTCAAAACCCAGTGATTGGCTTGCCACTCTGTTGACTAATGAGTTTGCCAACTATTCCTCTAACCAATTTGGCTAGAGTCTATTTTCTCTTTAAACAATAAGTAAAAAGAAATCCATTAGTGTTAGCCACCTTGCTTGCACCACAGGAGCCCACCCAGGATATGCAAGAAAGCACCAAGGCAGAGACTTGAACAGATACTGGCCCATTATTTGCAGCATTATTTGCAGTTGGGAAATCACCCAACTATCCATCAACACATGAATGGACACGCAAAATGGGGTACATCCATGTACTGGAATATTATTCAACCTTAAAAATGAAGAAAAGTGCAACACGTGCTACAACATGGATGAACCTTGAGGATATTCTGCTGAGTGAAATTAACCAACCACAAAGGGATAAGAACTTTAGGATTCCACATAGTATATGAGGTTCCTAGAGCAGTGAAATCCACAGAGACAGAAAGCGGAATAGTGGTTTCTGGAGGCTGGGGGTGGAGAATTATTGTTCAATGGGTACAAAGTCACAGTACAAAGTTATGATGACAAAGTTTTGGAAATAAATAGTGATGATGGTTATACAATAACGCAAATGCTACTTAATGTCACCCTAGCCGGTTTGGCCCAGTGGAGAGAGCCTTGGCCTGCAGACTGGAGGTCCCCAGGATCAATTCTGGTGAAGTGAGGTCATAGGCTCTGGCCCTGGTTAGGGCGCGAGCAGGAGGCAGCCAAACAATGTTTCTCTCAATCTCTCCCTTCCACACACTCTAAAAACTTACCGCGCACACTTAATGTGCTTCCTTATTTTCTACTCTTTTTTTTCTAAGTGGCAGCTGCCTTAATTGCGATAGCATAATAATATGAGTAATTCAAGGAGCCTCAGTTATGTGATCAATAAAATCATATCCCGGGTAAGGATTAACAAAATAAAAACATTAAAAAATATACTTCAGCTGAAACCGGTTTAACTCAGTGGATAGAGCGTCGGTCTGCGGACTGAAGGGCCCCGGGTTCGATTCCGGTCAAGGGCATGTACCTTGGTTGCGGGCACATCCCCGGTAGGGGGCGTGCAAGAGGCAGCTTATCGATGACTCTCTCATCGATATTTCTAACTATCTTTCTCCCTTCCTCTCTGTAAAAAATCAATAAAATATATATTTTAAAAAAAATGTACTTCATGTCACTGAACTCTAACCTTAACAATGGCGAAATGGCCAGTGTTACGTTATGTATACCACCACACTTTCGAAAAAGAGTAACATGCTCGCGTGCACGAATCCCCCACCTTTCTCCGGCCTTCCTCCTCCTCGTCGGTCCGTGGGCACGGCTGGTCGTTCAGCAGCGGGCTGACCAAGGGGGAGGCCTGCTTGGTGTCGGGGCTCAGGTTGGGAGACAAGATCACGCTGGCAGGAACCGCTCCTCCCTGCGAGTTGATGGACAGCTCTGAAAGGTGAGGGCTACCAGTCAGGGAGCCTGTTTGGGGATGAGAAGTATTAAAAAAAAAAAAAAAAAAAGTAATTCCTCTGGGACCTGATTTCTACTTATAATCTCACCTTTTCAAATCTTTAGAACCTGGACTACTCAAAGGTAAACTTCATGGCTTCATTACTTTCTACTTTTTTTTTCTTTTTTTTTTTCTAAGTGGCAGCTACCTTAACAGAGATAGCATAGTATGAGTAATTCAATGGAGCCTCAGTTATATAATAAATGATAAGGTCGAGAACTCTGCTTAGAGAATCACAGCAGTTTAAAAACATAGTGTATCCCCACATAGAATCATCCCCTCACTATTGCCTTAGCTTCTAAGAATTACTCAAGAAAGACAGCGTCTACATTACAAGGAGACGTGGGGAAAGACTAGGGGAATAGAGCTATGCTAATAGAAGACGTGACGACTGGAGCAGCGAGGACAGACTACATCTCGTAGCAAAGGGCCACCACTAAAGAAAGGTAAAGCAGCTACCTCCCCCGTCGACAGAGAACAGACACAAGCTCGGTATACCTGGTGGTGTCACTCCATGTCTCTCTCACTGTTTGGGACAGAAACACTAGCATCACATTTACACGCCAAGGTGGTCGCTTAAAAATGCAAAGCTGGAGGTCATTACATTATCCCAAGACCCTTTTATAAGTCAAAAAAGTGACAGGTGATTAATGATTGCTCTGAAAAGGAGGCCATATGAAACAATGCAGAAGTGTAATTATCCACTGTGCGTCAGCCAAAGGAGATGACGCGTACAGGACACTCCTTGCCAACAGAATCTTGCAATGATCAACCCCTCAAACCATGGAAGCTAAACAGGATGTTTCACATGTACCTCTAACCTCTGTGTTCTTACCTAATGTGGATTTATTAGAACTAGTATGAGGGCAAACAGAGTTAAAGCAGCCAGCAGTCTTGCCTGTTGCCATTATAAGGAAAAACAATGTAAATGATTTCTCCATTTTCCAACATGGAGTTTCAGTTCATTATTACGCCTCACGCTATCAAGGATCTTGAAGAAAACCGTGAAGTGCCATTTTCTGGGCGGGCATAATCCCCCTCCCCCAGCTTTTTTTTTTTTTTTTTTTTTTTTAATCTATCCTCTCCCTCTGATTGTCATATCCATTTTGAAGTTATAAGATAGGACAGGCTAGAATGAAATAAAGTAGTGAACTTGATCCCAGTCTGAGCCAACCATGGAGAAACCACCACCAGCCCCCGCCCAGTCCCAGGTGATCAGCTAGCTGTGTCACTGACACATGGGTGAGAAGCCACCACACCCAGAAAAACAAGGAAAAAAGCATGCATCCTGCCCACTGCCTACTGGTCAGTACAATGTTCTCTGAAGAACAAGATTAGAAAACGTGAGGTAAAGCAGAATCAGGAAGTTCCCATTGAAAAAAAAACCCTGCATTTAAATCCTTGCATTTTATTTTGCAATCATTGAAATGAAGTCCTGGTGTTAGACAAAGACCCCGTCACCCCACACACCACCAGACCCAGTGAAACCCGGAGAAAAAAGGCCAGAAATTGCTTCACAAATGCCAATTTTATTGACACCAGTGCACAACCGAATACAATGATTTAGAAAGAATTGAAACTCGTGAAATAGAAATAGTGACAACAATGAGAACTGCAATTGCTTCACAGTACTACACTATTCTTTTTTTTTCCCTTGAATCACAAAAATTAAAATGTTATCGCTACAAATAGGAATTAGAAAAGAGAAATTCTGGCAGTCTGTCTGGAGATGAAAACAGTCCATGCATTTGTGAGTTGCTGTTGGCGAGTCACGCTTTTTTTGTCCACCAGCCATCATCTGGTAGAATTCGGGGGCTTACCTTCAGCTCTCACGCTGTGCGCGAGATCAGGTGAGGCAGTGTTAAGTGAGAAGGCGCTGGGCTTTGCATTTGCAGGGGCGTGGAACAGAGAAAGCATTCCCCTTGTCATTGAAAGAGTTGGAGCCAAGAAGAAAAAGTAGTTAGAAGGCTAGCTTGAAGAAGAGGGGGGAGGAGAGAAACAGTACCAATTAGGCCCTGGACAGCATCCAGCAGCAGATAAAAGACCCAGTGCCACATTGTGAGGGAGAAAATAAGGGTGATCACGCTCGAGTACAAGCACTTCCACTCTCCAAAGGTCAAAAGCTGTCGCCCTGGTGCACCCCCCCTGGGACGCTGCTCTTCAGCGGACTGAGCCGCTGGAAGCATGAGCGAACAGACGAGGGCTTCAGGACAGACGCCACCTGTCAAGAAGGCAGGACCCGTTTCAAGGACAGCCGTCTAGGAGAATTCCCAAAGGACCACATCGGAGACAGGGCTCAGAAAACGACACTGAACACAAGCGTCACAACAACCCGTGTTCCTAGGCTGAGGAGGGGACAGCCCCGGGTCAGGCCCAGATAGTGGGGCGGGGGGGGGAAGCCTGCCTCATTCACCTAGACAGCCCCAAGATACGTGTTACTACCAGTGGCCCATTTCCACGTCTGGAGCAGCTGCTGCAAATGGTTTGTTGAGGCCTAAGAAAGGCAGGGTGATGAGTGTACACTGTTAGACCAATAAGCCAGCGAGGACAAAAGCCTGTTCTGGGAATCTATCGGCAATGCTGAGGCAGGGAAAGGCCTAACACTTTCTAGTGCGATTTTGCTCGCTTGAGCTGCATCCTTGGGGAAGAATCATCTACTCTAGGCTTTGGAATGTATAGGTGACGTGGTCTAAACAGAAATATGTAACTCATTTACCACTCAGCAACTAATGAAGTAGAATGACGAGGGTATTCAGTAGAATTTGGCAGCTTAAGGAGTCATTGAAATTCTCTTCTGACATGGCACCAACATGTGATAAACACGGTGCTAACCGGTGCTCACACTGGGCCCATCTTAAGAGGGAAGAGCTGAGTCTAAGGTGTCAGCTATTAGACCTACATGTAAGCCATTTTCATTGAAGTAGCTCATTTTCCAAAGCAAGCCGACACAGTTGCATGGTTAGATAAAATGAGTCCGCTAGATGTACACAGCCTGCTCCCATCATGCAGCTTGCCACCTGCTTTGAAGGCACAGCCCTGGGCAAAGAGAAATAGTGACCGACAGTCCATTGCTACTCTGCGAACTTATTAACACCTGGGAATGGTCTTTTTTCCCCTCAGTGACAAATTGACAATAAAAAAATTTCTTTCAGCAAGGGCCTCTGGGTAAATAATGTGGGGGGACCTTTCCAGAAAGCACCTGGGTATTAAGGCAATAGGTGAAAAGAAGTTTGAAGAGATTAGAAAAAGGTTAGACAGATCCTAAAAGTATGGAAGCTTCTGATTTTTTTTTTTTTTACAAACTATATTTCCTATTTCTAGAAATTGCCCGGCATTTTTTTTAAGCATTCGGTAATATTTTCAGTTAATAGCTCTCGAATCCTTCACCTCTTTGATAATGATTTACACCTCTCCCCACCCCTCCCCGCTATTCTCCTGCCCCTGCCCCATGTCCCCCTCCCTGCCATTCATCTGTATCAAGAGGGCTGAGTGTACGTCACCCCAGGAACTGGAAATGCCTTCATGAATATCGCCCTCCAGGGAAGCATTTCTGGTACAGAATTTCTAAAACTCTTCTAAATGCACACATTTCATGGCACAAACAATGAGAACTTCAGATTAGCACTGCTATACTTATGGATTTCCACTTATCGCCCAGCCCGGAAACTGGCTTCGCTTTTCCATCTTTTTAAAGAAAAACACATTCATCATTCTTCTCTCCTGTCTGCTCTGGGGAAGCTGACGCTGCAGCATTCCCCAGGGCTGCAGCCTCTCCAGACCAGCTTTTCACCAGTGACACATAAACAGGGGAACAGTTTCTGATCAGCAAGCCAAGGCCCACCTGGATTCCCACTGTGGGATCAGGCACAAGCTGCCTCAGCCCGTCCACTGCCTCCAACTGTACTCAAGGCTTCAGGACAAACTCACACAGTGTGAGGGGAGGGCATTTTCTAGTTCTTAATGATACCTAATGCTGCAGTGTGTTAAACTGGCCGTAAACTGGTAATCTCCGTTTTTTAAATGGGATAAGTGTCATTTTTCCTGTTAAGGGAGGACACTAGAAAACCTGACAATAATTTTAAAAATAATAATCCGCAGATTTGTTCAACAATATTTAAATATTTGAGAATGAGCATATTGAAGAAAATGTGAATACTGATTGCTTTCTCAAGCCCTCTTTTGAAATATTTAAAAAGTATAATGATTTTAAAAGTATCTATGCTGATTCTTCAATATTCCCTCAAATAAACACCTTTATTTGGTAAGCTTTTAGAGTCCACTCACTTCTCATGATTTGTTTCCTATTACTTGGTCCCAAAATATAAGAGATTTTTCTCTCTCTAGGCCCAGAATATGCTCCAAAGGCACATACAGAAAATGCAGGGGGAGGTTTTCATCTATTTTTTTTTTAAAGGCTCTTTTTAAATTATAATCTCCCTCTAAAAAAAATTACAACGAACTCTCTCTGGAGACTGTCTGCATTGGAAAGCCAGTTATCAAAGGAAGGTCAGTATTGTGTTGAATAACGGGCAGTCTCTAGAATGGGCAGGATTCACTCTAGTCTGATAACTAAGCTGGGTCCCACCCCAATGGGCTATATGGAAAAAAATCTTGACATGATAAGGTTCCATAAGAAAAACCAGGGCACAGGATTACCAATCACAGTGGTAGTGTCCTCTTCCTGATACTTTAGGCTGTGGAGGGTAACGTATATATATATATGTGCTTTTCAGACCAAGTTCCTTTAAGAAAAGTTTTACAAGCAGCTAAACATCACCTTCGCCATTCCTCAAGCAATTCAGAAAAGCAACAGTGGTGCAACTGGCAGAAAAAGAAAGAGAGCAATGCTACCGCCAGCAACATGACAGCAGGTGCACTAGCTTATTCTTACGGATGGGGAAGAGATAAAGGAGAATTCTCCTTGGTTGGAACATGGGGGTGGCAGTGTTCGGACATGGTGCTTCGTACC